TTCATTAAACGGCCCCCATATTTTCCTAAAGGCCAAGGGAAAATGAGCCAACAGAGGAGCCAGGTATATTGCTATTGAACAGCAATCTGTTATTTTAATCAAGTACTGCCTATTAACTGGGAGTTAATTAGAGCCCTGGTATAAAGCATTATCCAGGGGTCTGGAGACACATTTTTACAGCACTTGGTGCATGGAGGTGGCTGATGGCATTGCCAGGGCCCCTCTGCTCTAGCCTTTGAACCACAGGTACAGGTCTGCAAAATCTCAGCATTCTCTCAGGAAAAAAAAATACTCAGAAAAACCCCCAACAAACAAACAAAAACCACAAATGAAACAAAAACTCAAAAAAAAAAAAAAAAAAGAAAAATTGGTTCTAAATCTTTACAGAAAGCAGAGACACTGCCAATTTTTAAAACATATTGGAAAGTGAAGAGTATCACCAAATCCTGGCAGAAGACAGAGTGCCTGTGAGCTGCAGCCTCACCAGGACTGACTGTGAAGATCTCAGCAGTGCAGATCACTCACGTATCGAGGTCCATCTCTCCAGCAAGCACACCCTGACCCACCTTCCACACAGGAATGGGGCAGTGGGGTGAGCCCCAGCACTGCCCTCCGTCCGACACCATCCCCCTGTGCTGCCCGGCTCACGCACACTTTCAGCCAGGTCAGAAGGCAAAGCCTTTTTACCTCCACAATTGCACAGAGTACCCAGAGCATGAAGATGATTTCTCTCCCTTTGTGGACTCTGCTTGTGTCACAAAAGATCCTGCCATGAAAACATGTCCCAGAGCTGACTTAAATGGAGAAAGACACACAGTCACCACAAGGACCTCGGGGAGACAAATATCCCCTAACTGTGAGTGATGAAGGTTGTCTTCATCACTGTAAGTGATGAAAGGATGCTAAGGAGTCACTGAGACACAGCCTGCCCTGGAGTGCTGCTGGTTTTTATTGGGCCATCTGGGCTTTACTGCAGTGCAAACAGCATTACTGACGATTGTTATTAACAACATTATAATCATTAACAAAATACTGCAGTGCTCAGGTTTCAGGTGTTGTCCGCCCTCCTGCTGCACAGCCCAAGCTTTCTGACAGGCTGAGATTTAGAGGACAGCCCAAAATCCCTCACTGGGTAGAGCACAGGGTCTCTGGGTGCCCATCATCCAGCCCACCCTGGCACAAGGGCTGCAGTTCCATCTCAAATACTCTTTTTTCTTCATGGAAATGACCTTGGGCAGCAGCTGCCAGCGCTGATGTTGGGGCCAAACTCCACCTTCCCCTTGCCATCAGATAGAGTAACTAACACCTTTGTTCATAGGTGTATGTATTAGAACACCCAGCCTTTCAGAGCCTGCCCCATTTCTCTGTAGGAGGAGAGTCCATGATTTGCCTGCACTCAAGCAGAAGATGGCACATTGGGGACATGTGTCAGGTTGCCAAAAAAAAACCCAGAAAATGGAAAAAAGAACCACCCAAAAGAGTGCATTTCTGTTACAATATGTATATGGCTGCTCATTACCTAGACAACATGTTTGATGAAGTAAATGAAAATCAAACATTCTCTCCACCAGCTGTTGCCTCACTCATTTTTTTTTTTTTTTTTGTCAGGACAATAAACTTGTTATGAGTATCAGTGCCTTTCCTGGCTTCAGCCTCTTCTGGGGAGAAGCTGTTAACAGAATACTTGCAGCAGCAATCCTGACCCTGGATGCTTTTTCTTGGAGAGGACATTTCCACCAGAGCTCACCCCACCTCATTTTGGGCACTGAACTGGGACATGGGGGTCAGTGACAGCTCCAGTAAGCACCTGAGGAAGGAACAGAGGGGAAGGCAGGAAGACAGCTGGTACAAGGTGTCCTGCACCAGTGTGGAAGGAGAAGCATTTTGGTCTGTAAATGCCAATAATTTGCAGTACTGAATCTTTATATGCCTCAGGAGGAAGAAAGATCAAAGAAGCAGCCCGATCACCCCCTCCTCCAACCCTGGCTAACGCAGAGCTCTTCCTGTGCACATCATCTTGGAGGCACCCAGGGCCCCTCTCCAAATCCAGCTGTGCTTCAGCCCTGAGTTTGGTCTGGAGTTCAGCTCTCCAGAGCACCACCAGGAAAGCAGGGATGGTGCTTTACCGTATGTCTTCACTGTTTGCACACACAAGCCTTGCTAAATCACAGCAGAACAGTGAGAAATCCATACCAGAGCGCACTGAACACAGGCAGCTTGAGTCAAGATGCACAGGAATAAAACACACAGGGGGGAAAACAAAATTAATCTTACTTTGTCTGGGTAGTGCCTTACTCTGCAGTGTGGTACCAGCCCCACCAGGAGCCAGGAGCCCCAGCTGATGGGAACTGGCAGAGTTCCAGGGCTTTCCAGTGAAGCCAAGCCAATGTAAAGACAGCTGCAGACTGGGTCCAAAATACGAAGCCACAATAAAGGTTCCTTTAAATTATTGAAGACATACTCAATTCTGGCTCCCATGACTGCTTTTACAGCTCTCTCTCTCTCCATTCAAAGCATCATCACCCACCCTTCAAGCAGGATTATTCTGCTTCTCAATTGGACTTTGACTCAACAGCAAATTTAATTAACTGACCTAATGGACTAGAGATGTGGATTAGAAGAGAAAAGAAACAAAAAAATTCCAAAAAAACCCCACACAACAGAAAGAACCACCACTGCAGCAAAAAAGAACCCCAAAGAACCTAAGTTAAAAAACCAACAAAACAAAACTACACCCCTGCTATGCAGAGATGCAAAACAGAGCTCCTCACAGCAAGATACCCAAACTGCCAAACATTTGTTCTTGGTTATCTTTTAACAGAAGATCCCAAAGCCCTTCACGAGTCCTTAAGCTGCATAACACTGTAAGGTGCCAAGAGGGAGCTTTGTGGGGAACAGCACAACCCCCTTCCCAGAACTTCAGAAAGTCATTTCTGCAGATCCCCACAGGAATAAACTGGTGCTGCACTCCCTGTTGGGGACACACCTCCACCAACAGCAGGAGTCAATCTGTCACTTGGATGAACACTGAATGTGCCTCAGCATCTTCACCACCGTCACATTCCCTGCTCCAGAGGTCCTTGTGGCAGACAGTGCGGGCACTGACCCAGCAGAAGGCTGTACACACAATAACATCACCAGCACCCCTGGCTCCAGCTCTCTGCTGGCTCCACCAAGCCCACCTCTCACAGCAGAGGGTCCCAGCACAGCAGAGGCACCAGCAGGGAGCCCAGGTAGTGCCCACCCTGCCCCTCACCCTCCAGCCCAAGAGCAGCCAGGGGAACCCAGCCCCACCGCTCCTCACAAGGCTCTGCACGTTCCTTCCCAGCTCCAGAGCTGCTGGGGACATTTCTGCCCAGGGATTATTTATTGTAACATCCAAAGCAAGCAATATGTCACTTAGAGAATGAGCCTCACTTACGAGGCTCGGCGCTGAAATCCGACTGCGTGACATAGGGTGATGAATCAGCCAGCTTCCCACTGGCTCATTTGGGAATACACCCCTTTGCACAGAAAAAAAAAATACTCAGAGATCCACTCATTAATCCTAACTTCATTCACTGTGGTGAGGAGCAGAGTGTTCCCCTCACCCTCCCAACTGCAGAGAGCTGCTACTCTGTTTGCCTTTTCTGCTTCCAGCAGGAAAATGGGAAAGCAGAATCAAGTGATTCACACCTGTCACAAGACCAGCTGATGGAAGCTTCCAAGAACAAATTCATCACTGCACATGCAAGGTACAGTCAGGGTGACATGCATGCAAAGCAGTGATTAATTATAGGTGTTTTGCTGAGGAAATTTCTGAGCATGAAGGGCAAAATTTAAATTGCTAATCAGCATCACTTTTTGTTATAACATGTTTGAAAACAAACTAATGGGATGGAATAAGCCTCCTTGAACCAGCTTTGACACCTGTATCTTCCATGTAAAAAGTAAAATTTAAAAATACTTCAAAATACATCCTTTCAGAAACAGATTCTTTTCATCAAATGAAATGATGGATAACGGGTGGAAAGTTGTCAAAAAAAGTGTTGGTGAAGCATGAGAGCCTGATGTGTTAAGAGAGTGTGGGCCCCACCACCCAGCCCCTCTGATCCTGCCCCTGGTGGTGCCTGAGCTCCACAGCTCCATAGGGTGGGTGAGGTCCTGGCAAGGGAGGGACCCCCTCTCTTCCTTCACGGGGTCCCTGCAGCCCTGCTCAGGACTTTTACAGTGGGAAAAGGCAGAGAATGCCCCAGCAGGTCCCTGGCCTAGGACTGCAGCCCAGCCAGGACCATCCCTGTGCTCTGCCACTCCTGCTCACAGCACAAGGCTCTACTGCCTGTCTTCATGCCTCGAGGGCAAATATAGGAGATTCAGAAACTGCTTAAAAATAAAAATTCCCATCCCAGCCAAGCATCTCCAGTGCTGACAAAGCTCTCAGGTGAGCTCAGCTCTGATCCTGCTCATGGCCCCCAGGCTCTGTGCTCTGTACCTGGGTCCATCTCAGCTGTGCCATGCAGGGTTTGCCACTGGGTCCCAGCCCTTCAGAAACCAAGACACGAGCAAGCTCTGCTTACAGAGCAGCTGAGGTCAATGTGGATGCCTTTATGTGCATCCTCTCACCAGCAAACCACCTCAGTACCAGGGGTTATTTTGCCAGCGCTTAGGCTCTGTGATTCTTCACTCCTGTTCTCCCATTCTTCTCAGGTTTGACTTTATGCCCAGGCTGGGTGCCACTGAGAAGGGAAATCAATGCTCCTCCTCTTCCTCTGCACAGAAGCATTTCAAATGGGACCAGTTAAGCACAGGACTGACTCCCAGCCAGGTCCAATGGTTGGGTGGCAGTGCTGGGGACAGCCCCTGCTGGGGACAGCCCATGCTAATTAAACTCACCAGGAGACCCCAGTGATGGACACCCCTTGTAGGGTGGGACAAGCAGTGTCCTGCACCCCACAGCTGCTGCTGTGCTCACCCCAGAGCCCACCACGACCGTGCCAAGCCGGTACCACCACCACAATTACCTGTGAACACCAGGCTGGCATTCTCCAGCTCCTCCTGTGGAACCTTGAAGCTGAAGGACTCGTTGTAGAAGGGATCTATCGTGCCCCGCATGCAGGAGGTCTTCTTGGTTTTTGTTAATTTTAATCCGTGAACAAGCTGAATTTTCACAAAGGGATCTGTCAAAAAGCACAAAGCACAGGCCCTGTGTTATGGGGATCATGAGCCAGCACCCCTGTTCATGAGGGCTGGGCACCACAGGGATGGACTGTGCTGGAAATGGCCTTTGGAATGGCTGGGACCTGTACCCTCACACTGCTGCCAGATTTCCAGCGTGGACAAAAGTCAGGCAGCTGGATTAAAAACAGTCCCTGCCAAAACCACAGTTAATGTCAGCCTTGACAGAGACCCAGCATACTGTTCTTTTTGGAAAATGCCACTATTCTGGCAGCAGCAGAGGCTGGGGCAGGAACATGGGAGAACCACCTGAGGACAGAGGCATGAAGCAGTTCCCAGCCAGAGTGGCCAGAGCCAGCAGGGAGCAATGTCCACAGGCTGCCTCACACAGCACAGCACAGGGGGGTCACAGCTCCTGCTTCCTCACCTCAGCCTGGCTCAGAGATCTCTACCTTAAATTTGGCAAACCCTCCATTGTATCTCAGGGTAAGCACTCCAAACACTCCCAGTATTGTTGTCTACACAGACAAGAGGACATCCAGGGCTTTGTATTAACAGGAGCTGAGCATCAAATCCCCCTGGGTCCCCCACAAATTGCAGCCTCACTGATCTGCTTTAAAGGCACACATAATCTGTGCATGAGTAATGTGAGAAATGCACTGCCCTTTACCTGAACCTTGGCTCATGTCTGTCTGAAGAAGCTGTTTTGCTCTAATGATGTCCACGTTCAGTCTCCCTGCACTTGGTAGGTAGTTTAGTGACAACAGCAGCTCTCCCAGCTCCACTTCATTCTGCAGGGAAAAGAGAATGTGGAGATTTAGAACAGAGCTCAGAGGGGAAGGGAAGGGAGAGAAATTAAATAAATCCCATTTGTCTAAGTGCCTGAAAAATGAATTTTAGTCACGCTCTGAACTGCAACCAAGAACCATCTGGTGGTAGCTCGTGCTAAGCGGAAACAAGAAAGAAACTATCCCCAAGTGAAGATCCTTCTCTAATCACCAATCCTTCACCAGCTTCCCAGCAGCCATGCAAAGAGGGTCTAGGAGGCAGGGGTACAAGGTCAGTAGCTTCTACCTGCTCCATTTTTAATGGTTCCAGGTAGCTCTGATCTTACCAATGTGCACAACACAGGCCCACTGGAGAAGACATCCTCTTTCCTCCCCAGCCCCCATGGACCACACCAGCCATTTGGGAAGCTCAGCCATGGTTAATGCATCCCTGGGTCACACAGCTCAGAGGAGACCTTCCCTTGGCATCTCCCAGAGACCATGGCACAGCCTGAGTGTGCCCTTGCTGCTCACCAGCCTGCACCATGGCCACAGCTCCACATCAGGACAGCTGTTCAGCCATCATATCTTCTCCTTTCACTTAATGATGCTAAAAACTAGTAATTAAAGAGCTGGAGAGCTCACATCACTGCTCCTCAGATGTGAGGGTTTAAAATAACCTCTCCCCCCTTGCCCTGGCCTGGCTCTGAGAGGCTCTTACTGTTAGATGCAAAACACATACACTGAAACAACTCTGGAGACTGGAAACACCCCAGCCAGCCCAGGCAGGGAATTGATCCATCTGCCTAATGTCAGGTCCACGGAGTACAGAGCTAGGGCTTCATCCCAAATAGTCAAACAGTCCAAAACCAACCTAGATCAGGGGTCAGAGCCCTCCCCAAGAGGAAAAGGAGCTGCAGTGGTATTGCATATATCATAACAAAAGGCTTAAATATCTTTACTGCTGCCCAAAATATTAGATTACAGAAACCAGAGACTGTGGGTAGGCAGTAAAGTAAAAGGCTCTCAGAATAGTCACAGCCTGAACTGACCCAAAGAACCAGGTTCACCAGCAGATGGGCCAGCACACGAGGCACAGTCCCTGCCAAAGACATCAGTGGCTCAGGGAAACTGAGGCTGGGGCTACTGGGAAACCCAACCAGGAAAAGCATCTGATTTCTTAACTCAAAATCCTTTTGTCACAGCATCCTGTGGGGCAGTACAGTGACTCCACAGCACCCACACTCACATTTACCACATGCATTTTCTTTTGTTGCTACAGTATTTCACCCAGAAGGCACCTCTCTTCCATCAACCTGTGCCAGCTCCCACAACACAGGGCTCTTCAATATTTGATGTTTTAAGTTCTTTCCATCAGAAAGCCACTCCCCAATACAAGCCTGACCCAATATGCACACAATACTCACAATTCTGGCAAAGCCAAGCCATACACCACACACCGTGGTGCCCTGTGGTTGCACAAGGTAAGGATCTCAGAGTCTCACATCCAACGTGGTCCAAACACCATCTAATTGATTTAAACTACCATCTTTCATTCAATTTTGCCCAAAAATGCTCCTCTCAGGTCTGTGGCTGGAACAGCCTGCAGACACGTTTATCATCAAGAACAGCCAGTGACTTTTAATCCTATTATCAGGACAGGATGGAAGCATCAAAGTGCCCACAGCACCACCACCACCCTCAACAGGAGCCACACAAGGCAGGCCTCCACCCCAGCTGATTTTTTATAACATATAAACAACATTTTTAACAGACACAGTTCTACTTCCACTTGCATTCACTGCTGGTTCCATTCAGGCTTAAACTCCTAGAAATTCAGGTGCATTTGGACAGTGCAAATTAGGAAACTGGTCAGTGATTTTATTACCTGCTGGGGAGAGACAAACATCTCCAGCTGCAAATACCAAACCTCTGGCACAGCCAGGTGGCTGGCATGGGGCAGTGATGTAGGACCTTTCCAGTCACATCTGGATTAGAGTGCTGGAAATCTGCATTAAGATTTGGGATAATTACTTGTGGAGTTGTCCATTGATGGAACCTGTTGACCTTATCCAAGAGCTGCAGGAAATAAGACGTTTCCCTGGGCCAGAGAGGAGCCATGGAGCTCAGCAAGGGAAGGCAAATCCAAAAAAAGGGAGAAAAAAGCGCCCAGTGCTGTGCCCTGACTGTCAGGCTGGATCTGTAACACCCACTGAGGCACTGGCAGGAGAACCACGTCCCATTGTCCCTGCAGGGATTATGGAAGGAGCCACTCCAGTGTAGCCATCACACTGCTGCCCAACCCACCCAGCCTTCCACAGGTAAAGGCAGGACCTGATTTACTGTAGGACCTAGCCTAACGTGGATTTTGGAGCCTCTAGAAAAACCTTTTTGGCTATCCAGGCTTAAATTTGAGTAAGGAGAGATATAAAATGCTATGTTCTAGAAGAGAGATCCATCGATGACATGCAGACTACAAGTAGCTTTAATCAGGCCCAGATCAAGCCAAATCTCCCAAATCTCACTAGCACCTTCTGCCAGTTCATGCTTTTCAAGAGTGCCCAGATTTGTGTTAATCATTTTGAGGGAGGGGAGACAGGGCCCCTGCCCCAGAGCCAGGGCAGGAGGGCTGAGCTCAGAGGCAGCAGGGAAGGGCAGCAGGCAGAGGAGGAGGAGGAGGAGGAGGAGGAGGAGGAGGAGGAGGAGGTGTTTTCAGAAGGAAAATCCACATTCCCGGCCAGCTCACCTCCCCGGACCGTGACTCAGCCTTTCCAAGGCACTGAGTGCCAGCAGCCGACTGATGTTCTAAATGCATTACTTCTAGCTCAGCCACGAGGATCTGGGAAACATTGACACGGTGTCCCGGTGCCTCCGGGGATGTGGGGCACACAGGACAATGGACCAGTGGCCCAAGCCCAGCAGCCTTGTGCTGTGCCGCTCACCTGCCGCAGCCCACACAGGAGCCCAGGGCGCCCGGGCTGTCCCGGGCAGCAGCAGGTACAAGGCAGGAGGTCCCAGGTGCCCCATGCCATGGCTCCCTTTGCTCAGGCACGGCTCGGAAACAGCTCTGTGCTGCCAGAGGCAGCGGGCCCGAGCCCAGCCCGTGCCCAGAGCATCCTGTGGAGGCTCAGAGCCTTTCTTCTGTCTCACGCTGGGGCATCCCCAGAGCTCGGGCAGGTCAGCAGCTGAGAACAGGGGATGCCAGCTCCTGCACAAGAGGTGCCACCGGCACACCGCTCACCGCAGGGCAGGGAAGTGCCCGAATTTCACGTTTCCTAGCTCTTTCCATCAGGAAACGACAGTGCTGTTGGCTTTGCCTTCAGTGTTCTGCTCGCAGCAGCAGCGTGCAGAGGTGCACCCGTGCTAAGGCATCATTTCAGCTGCCATTATTATGCTGATGACGAGCTGATTCTGCCGAGATCCCAGATGACCCTGGAAAAGCAATTTCCTGTTTGATGAGATGCCGGAGTGACACCGAGTCTGGGATGTCTGAGACTCCTGAAGCTCTGATTAACATTTCACTCCTGGCTATATCACACTGCCAGGCTGGATTTGCCTTGGGCTCGCCTGTGATCCAGAACCTTCTCCAGTTACTGCCTGGGCTGAACCCAGACATTTTGAAACATTATTTTTTTCTGTTGTTTTCTGTCATCTCTGAAACACAAAGAGGTTCCTCCGAAGAAAGATGAGTTTTAATTAACGCCATTCGCACATCTTGTTTGGACCAGGTAATTCCTTCCTCACAGCCCCCAGACTGTTCCTTGTGCATTGCTACAACACCAGCAAAATTCTGCAGCTGAAACCCTTCCCAACAGGAACCACAGCACATTACATCAGCACTGACATCTATGCATTGCTCCTAATGAAGTTTCAGATTGATTTTCCTCCTCAAGGTTATCTGTGTTGGTACCTCCAGGCACAACAGAAAACTGATAGTTTAGAACAGTTTGCTCTAACAGGTTTTCTACAGCACCCTGTGACACAGTCATTGTTTTGGGAAGGTTGAGCTATTAAGGACCAGAACCTGAGAAAAAAATATACTTACCACTGAATAGGAGCAGAATTTCCTACATAACTGACACCAACTGGATGTGTGATGAAGAGAGTCACAGAATCCCTTCTCAAGTCAAATTGTCTTTGCATTAGTTTGAAAGGCCATGACAAAGCCTCTGTTTTGCAAAAAGCTTTGGGAAGAAGATATCCTACGGAGAGGTCCTGCTCCTGGAGCCAAACAACCTCTCCTCTGGGATCCTCCTCCACAAAATACACCCCCAGCATCCCAGTCCTCTGCAGGAAGGGCAAGAAGTGAACAGTGCTGAGGGCAAAGGATGGGGTGACCAAGGAGACAGATAAGGATAAAGAAAGAACAGCCAAGAAGAAAAGCTTTTCAGTGCTGCAGCTTTAAAGACTCAAAAAGGAAAGGGGGGAAGAAACCTCTGAAATGGAGCTGAGGAAAAACAAACATACAGAGTGAAACTGAAGAAGATAGAACAGCACAAGCCAAAATATGAAAACAAACCAAAGATTAAGAGCTAAAAATGTTGTTATCATGATGGACAAACATCCATCACAGCATCCCATCACAGTTCTAACTCCAGTGACCTGCAGGGTGGGGGTATCCTGCCCTCTGCCAGGCTTTGCCCAGGGCATCTCCTCCACTGGCCACAGGTCAACTTCCAGGGTGATTTTAACATCCACCTGATGAGCACACGTGGCCCCACATAACCACCTCATACCATCTTGAACATCAGAACTGACAGGTCATTCTAGTGCACTCATAGTATGAAGATAAAAAAGCAAGTCCAATACACACTCCCTCTACTATAAAAATGGCTTAATTTGAGGGAAGATGGAATTTCATGCTATTTTCCCACCACAACTAGGAATTTTTTTTTTTCTTTTGCAGAATGATCTTCAAGCTCTCATTACTGCTGGTCTAAAACATTTATTCCTGCCCACTCAAATCTGCCAAAAGAGAAATGAATCATATGTCAATAAAACTTGGGGTCCTGAACATGTGCTTCAGAATTAGTTTTAGTGGCGAAATATGCGAATCTGAGCCCAGCTACAGCGAGGCCTGCCAACTTCATTCATGGTAATTAAGCAAAGCCACACACATTTCAGGGGATATTTAAGGAGTGCAGAGTGTTCCTATGGGGACTGGACTCAAGAGCCTTTCCATGAGCAGCTACTGCGTGTTAGAAAGGCATTAATTACCCTGCAAGAGAAAGCCTCTCAGAACCACCAAGGATAAAGAATTTGGCAATACCTGCACTGACATTTTCCACGAGGAGTAAGTCCTTCTGCTCAGCTGCTGCCTCAGATGATGCATTGGGGAGCAGCTCCCCCGTGCCTCTGCCTTGGGCTCCATCCCCCTGAATGCCAAACGTGTGATCCAAGCTCAGAAAGTGCTTGTGTGCAGGTAGAGCCTTCTGCCTGAGGCTTGGCACCGAGTTGTTGGTGGCTCTGTGTCCTGAGGCTGAGAGCACAGCCCACTGCCCAGCTGGGCTGGGGCTCTCTGGCCAGGCAGTGCTGCCAGCGAGCAGGACAGCGCTGCACAGCCACCTCCTCACACAGTGCTCTGCTCGTTGGCTCACAGCAGCCCCACGAGCTGCTGAACACATCCCCCAGCAATGAGGAGCTGCACATCCCACCCACAGGCCTAAGGGGCTGATCTTGCTCCAGCTCCCCGTGGAGCCAACAGAGCTGCTGGCTGTAGAAGCTGGACCGTGCCTCACCTGGGACAGGCTTGCTGTCCCTGCTGACTCTGCACACACCAGAGGATTCCTGGCCTTCCCCACCTTTTGCAGCTCCCAGGTGCTGGCACAGCCTGCACTAAGGCAGTGTTCCAGCTCTGGGATGAGGGAACTCAACGTGATGGTGGGACAAGGACTCGGCACCTGACTTTATCAGCACACTGTGTCAGTGGCTTCCAGGTGGAGACAGCAAGTGCAAAACAGATGCTCATCTTAGCTCATGTTATTTGGCCACTTTCTCTGCTCTTTCACAATGCCTGCTGCCCTCCCACTCCCACCAGTATGGAGAGAAAACTTCTCCACAGCTCCTGCCATCTGGATTCACTTTCCTCCATCTCTCTCCAGCTCACGATGTTTCTGTCTATAAATTCCAGCTAAAAAAAAAAGTTCACGTATTTTGTGTCTTTCATCTTCACATATCATGTCTATGACTGTCTGTGTTTCTCTCCCTCCTGTTACTGCTTTTCCAAGCACCTGCCTCAGCCTTTTCTCCTGTGGCTGTGGGGGTGCTGCCAGCTGCTGCTCCGTGTCCCAGCCCAGGGCAGCCAACCCACACTGGCAAATTTTCCTGGACTGACAATCAGAACTGCACCCCAGCGCTTTGTGGCACTCTCCAGGATCCAAGGACACCTTCTGCAAAATAAAATGCAACTGCACGTAGATATTTTTTTTTTTGTCCCTGTCTATCACCATCTCTCAGCACAAAGCACACTCCAGCAAGCTCAGGTTCAATCCAACAAGAAACTGATAAAGGCTGTCTGTCCCTCAGCTAATCAAGCAAAAAAGTGAGAAGTATAAAAAAACTTGTCAACATGTCAAATCTATCATTCCACAGGCAGAAGGTTCCAACTAGTATTAAAAAACCCCTCAGAAATTTCTAGCACAAACATCACTGTTATTGAAAGACATTAAAATGTATTTTTTCAAAGCAACGAGCTTTATTGTTTTACTTCTCCCAGGATTTCTCTTAACCCTTTGATCAGTGAATTTAATCACCACTAGGATGAAACATGCCTTACTCAATGAACTTTAAAAATTTTATCATTTAGAAAATATGGGAAGATGATGCCAAACATCACCCCTGGATGTTCTGTCCAAGCACTGTTGATCCCTTTACAGTTGTAGTCTGCCAGCTGAGGTAAAAACACCAAAAAGGTACGAAAGGACCACTTTAGTGAGCAAAGTGTGGAGGAATTTTTGCCTGAGTTTTTTCCATATGATAGCAGGGGGACAAATGCAAAAGGCTTTTAAGCCTGTGCATTCAAATGGAGTTTTGTCTTTCTCCTTCCTTTTATAAATATCAGAAATGCCAACTTCTGCATAAATAATTTATCTTGAATGCTGGTGAAGCAGACAGCACTGCTGAAAACAGCAGCAGCTTTCAATGAAACTTTGGAGAGGGGGAAAGGAAGAGCTGGCTCCAAGTTTGGCACATGAAGGCAGAGATGATCTTTTCTAATCAAGGTCTGGATTAGCTGTGGAATGAATCCATGTTACTCATAAAGAGATGCAAAACACAGAGAAGTGTTTATCATGCAAAAGTAGGGAGCAGGGGGAGAAGCAAAACTGCATGGTGGGAGCCACGGGAGGATGATGGGATGCAAAGACATGCCCTACATAAACACACACTCAGGGACCCCATGATTCTGACTTGTGCACAACTTCCAAAACCTCCCTTTTTGCCTGAACATTGTTCAAGCTAGTCCCACAACACTCCTGTCACAGGAAATCCAGCTGGCTCTCCTGCAGTTACCTGGAGCCCTGATCTCCCTCCCCTTTACACAGTGCAGCAGGTCTGAGCAAGAGAAGAAAGTGCTCCCAGCCCTCTGCACACACAGAGGGACAAAGGAGAGACAGAGCCCCAGCCAGCTTCACCCCCAAACACTGCTTGGGGTATTTCCCTTCCACAAGTGTCTGAGCAGAAGTTTCCACTCCAGATCAGACTCTTGAACCCACAATGTAAAACAGCCCTGAGACAGATGATTTACTGCTCATTCCATCTAGTGTCTTTGGCTATGGGACCCTTTTGTGAACATCTAAAAATCAAATATGAACTATCCAACAGGGTTTAATTCAGCAAAGACTCCTTGGAAATTGCAATTGCAGTTGTGAGCTGGAAAGGAACTGGGAGAGACAACCTCGTGTGATATTCCTGTCCTTAGTACAAACATTTGAGATGCTGCTCACACTATGTTCTTCCCTTGGTTTTTCACAGGGTTCCGTGTCTCTAGCTACAGGGGTGATACCACCAGTGACAAATTTGGTAGGTAACCACCATTCCTGGCTGCAAAGCTCAGATCTTTCCACTGAATAGCCCTTTAAAGACCTGGCTGGCAAGGAGCTGGCCCTTTGCTGAGAACAGAGGTGAAAGCACACAGACCCTCTGCATTTCCTCTTCCCATCCCACTGGATGGCTGAAATGCCCCGAATGCAGGCAGCATCCCATTTGCATCAGACAAATATTTGTGGCAAATTTAGTTCCTTCAGTGATCTGATGAAAATAAATCTAGTACTCCTGTGCAGATTGTTGCTTATGCATTATGTCACAGATCTGGGTAGATTCCATCTTCTAGATGTTTTATTGAACTAAATCATTACTGAACTGGCACCAGCAGTTCCCCTCATGTCCTCAGAGCACGGGAATGACCTGGCTGGGAGAGTGCCACAGCATTCCTGAGAATGGATGCAGGTCACTGCAGTGACAAGAAACACCTTCCCTAAGGTGCAGACTTCCAGAACAATCTTGGGTTGTTCTTGTTTAAGCTGACATAGGATCTTTGCTCATGACTACAGAAGACAGCTCCTCTACCTCACACTGTTAGTTATAAAACCAGTCACAGGCCCACAATATCCCAACCCAGCAGATGCTGTGTTAACAAAATGACAATTACTAATTAGAAACAGCATTACTTGCCAACAGGCAAAGGAACCACACACGCACAAAACCCCCCAAAACAGCAAGAAAAATTGTGGCAATAATGGGATAAATTCTGTTACCTGAGAACTAGGCACAAGGGCTTTCCACCAGTGTCCACCTTTCACAAGGTCTACATCACTCAAGGGCATTGACACCTTGCCAATAACACAATGGCGTGAGAATTTGTCAAAATCCACTACAGTTAAAAGCAGAGTTCTTCTCTGGGCTTCTAAAAAGGGGATTTCAAATGTGTACCTCTCCTCAAACACTGGGTTCTGCGTTTTGCGTTTCACTCCGGTCTGCTTGGAGTTCTTCTGATCAGGAAGAAGGCAGATCTTCACGTAGGGGTTGGAGTGAGCCATGTCTTGCCTCGCACCATCGTAAGAAATTGGAGGAGGCAGATCTTTAGCCTCAATGACTCGCACTATTAGATAATTATGCAACAGATCGTACTGTGTGCTAAAATGCAGCATGCCCAGCTGGTACTTGGACAAGATCTCCTCGTCTGTCAAGGAGTCCATGTCATCGCTATTTGAGTCAAGAGAGTACAGCCTTGGTTCAAATTTTCTAAAATAGTCATCTGGGGTGTAGGTTTTTCGCAGGATAGTTGGCTGAACTATTTCTTTCTTAGCTCCTATTATTCCAAACTCGATGGGTTTGATGTCAATTAGCGGAGAACTCGGCCTCCTCGACTCCAGACCTGAACAAGAGAAACACACCAATGTGCTGGTTAGAGAGTCCAGTGAAGCAATTACGGGTGCACGTCAGCTTCTCTGGGTAGAGCTTTTCTGTGTCTGTGCAATGCCAGCACAGGCTCCACAGTGGGGCTCTCCCCCTTGCACTGCCAGCAATGAACAGCCCCCTGTGCCACGCTGAGGCACGAGCCAGCCTGCACTGCTCCCTCCCTGCCCATCTGCACCTGCAAACACCGGGCTCCTGCTTCAGCAAGAAAAACAGGGCTGGCCCCTTCCACTGTGCCTCTGCAAAGTAGGATGAGATTTTAGTCAATCTGACTTCAACTTGACTTGGTTCCCTGTCTAAAAAATGAAAGAGCAAGCGCTAGAGTTTGATTTTCTCCCCCACAAGAACTGCATTAATGTTGGAAGGACGACCTTACTTGAAATCCGCCGCGTGAGGCTGTAAGTGGACCGTGATGTATCTGACGACGACCGCCTTCTGTCAGGGGAAACATCCTGAAGAGTGGGAGGCAGCTCGCTGATTGTATTATCAGAGTCTCCATCTTTGTCCTCATTTTGGCTGCTTATCCTGTTATAATGAGAGACTTTTGGATGATTCAACCCAGTACAAGGAGTATATACAGAAAAAGGACGTGTTCTGGCATGCTGGGGCTAATCCTGGGTGCTCGTCCCTCCATGCTGTGGGATATCTCCTGATCTATCTGGCAAGAAAAAGGCTGAGCAACTGACTTCAGAAAAAATAGATTCTTCACCTTTCTGCCTGTCTTTCAAACAGAGTTTTATCAGTATTAGAGCATGACACAGGCCACTAAGGCACGTATAACTCAGATGTTGATCAGAAATATTATACTTCTCTCTAAGGAAAAAAATCAAACCAAAACCCCACAAACCACAAACCTCAAACAGCAGCTTCCTGCTGTAACTCATAGCTACAGTTTGGAAGCACAAACTTCACTAGGAACGAACAGAAAATCACCATGCTCAGATATCCCAAACCTACCACATACCTCCTGGTAAAATATTGTGGGTTTGCCAGTAAAACTTCAAAACTTGATCTTACAGACACAATTCATTATTTGCTATTTATTGGCATGCCTTTTTAAATATTTGGCTGCTTTTTATCCACTTCTATAAACCAGATGTGATTCTCAGCAGACAATAATTTTACTGCCCAGGGATCTTGGTGGGAGCAGGGAATTTGGCAGGATCTAAATGACAAAGCAAGTTTTGTAGCATCTTTGAGAAGCCTCCACAGAAGGCTGGCCATCATAGACAAGCCCACATGTAACTCCCCTTTCAGTTTGTTTAAATGTTTTTATACAAAACAGCATTCTGGTTAAAAACCCCAAGATATGACCACTGCAGTGGCTCCTGAAAGAAGTGAGGATCTCCCAGCTCTGGCTGAAAGAAGGGCAGGAGCAGACAGTAACAACTGCAGGAGGTAAAGCCTGCAGCTGTGTGCTCAGAGGGGAGTGCTGCCGATGGAAATGGAATCACACAATGGGTACATGACGTGTGGAGCATCCTGCAAAACAGCCAGGCCACCAGACAGAAAATAGCAGCAGATCACAAGGAAAGCATCAGCACAAAATGAGCAAAGCAAAGGGGAATTCTGTGTGAATTCTGCTTCCAAGCCAGCCTTTCTATGTGCACAACTCAGCTGGGTATAAATGAAAGATATTGAATCATTTTCATTAGTAACCAATGACTGGAGCAGAGCAAGTGATATATTCTGCAAAAAGCAGTGAACTTGCAGAAAAGCCAAAGAAGCATTAAAAAAACAAACAAACCCCCAAAACCAATTGGAAATTCTTATCCAAGCCCACAAAGTTCACAGCAGGATCCATGCAAATTTCACCAAGTCAGACTCACACAACTCATCCATACAATATTTGCACAGCTCTGCAGCCCATTAAAGGCAGTCCAAACCATACAGTTTGATATATAATCAGTACTTGGAACACAAATAGCTTTTTCATGCCTAAATGCAGGTCCACACAACCATCACAGGTGGCATTTGGATATGCCTGTGTTTGAGAAGCAAATGCACACAACAAGGCAGGGTGAAAAGGGAATCAGGAAGAGAGGCATTAAGGATGTTCTACAATGGGTAAACGTAATAGTGAGTTAATAACATACAGATGACCTTTAGTAAGGAAATTGCTACTGAGCCACAATAATTTTTCCTCAAATAAACTTTGGCTCTGGTTAAAGCAGCTCTGTTTCTGTTTAATCCAAACCTTTGGAAAGAGGAGTCGTGTCCTGATTTCAATTCAGTCTCACAGTGTGCACTGTTTATCTTTGGGGTTTGTGTAGAATATTCCATAACAAGCAGCTCAAACATCCACCCTCATTCCCAGGCCATTTCTGCAAGGACCAGGATGCAAGTGTTCCTCATGAAATAACAAGAAGTTATTATGTTAATAATGTGCACAGTTATGTGCACTCAGGTCAATTCAACTGGGCTCACTGCAGGAAGGTCTGAGACTGCAAAAGAATTCAGAAAGTGAGAAAAATTCATATTCTCCCAAGAGGAAGGGCTTAAGCTTGCAGCTTTATCGTCCACTCCTGAATTTCCAGGACAATGAGGTGTCTCAGAGCTGCCAAAGGGAAAACCTAGGGCCAAAATATAAAGGATGGGTCATTAACCACGGGCATTTCGGTGTTTGATAATTCACCAGTGAGGACCATAAAAACAGTTTTCCCCTGGGAAGTGGGTAGGAAGGTGAGAAAGGCACAAATTGCATTCTACACTACACCAGTGTCCCAGGCCCATGAAGAATAGGCAAGATGGAAAGAGCACAGCTGAAAATGTAGATCTATTTTTAAAACACTTTCAGGCTGCAAGCAGGGAATACAATAAATTGATTTGTCCCCAAATTCATTGCATGCATCTAAATTCAAAATATGATGATGTCAAACCTGTTTTTCATTGCAGGGGTTTCCACTAAATACAAAAGCCCCTTCTTCAAAAATAAAGAGAAAAAAAATAAAAAATACTGAAGGGTCCAACTGGCATACACAGATCCCTGAACACTTAAAAACATTAAAAACCTTATTCTAAGATCAAGTCCAAACTCTTACTCTGCTCATGCATCTACTCCAGAAATCATTCCCTACATCCAAAAATACATATAGAGATATAAAAATATACGATCAACACAGTGAAAACAGAATTCTTTGGTTTCTGAATTCTGAGTCAACATGGGATCATTTCCACCTCAAACATGCACACAAAAAGCTTGGGTCTCCTACTCGCCAGCAAACAAAATATACCAAGTCTGGCTCCTGACTTTTAATTTTTTTTCATCTTCATCTTCCAGAGCCTTGTTCCTCTACAGGCTCATTTTCTCCCTCTCTTCTCTCAAGGAGGGGGGGTCCCCTTGGGATTGATCCAATCAAATCCCCTTGGGTCCTCTGCTTCTCCCTATCTCCTCTGTTCTCTCTGTCCTCCTCACTTAAATAATTTCTGTGCTCCCTCACCATTTTCCAGCAAAATCACCCTGGAAGCACAAAGCATTATCACATTGCCTGGCACCACTCTGGGTCCATGACAGCTCTAGAGGAGCCCAGAGCATTTTCAGACAAGCAAAGCCTCATCTCCAACTTATACATCAATGTGTGTCAACAGACATCCTCAGAGATCACAGGTTTGCAGCTGTGTCACAGCTGATGGTGACTTCAGTGACCCTAAGGAATGGCAGTGCCCAGGTCTCCTGGCAAAGCAAAGCTTCTTCTCTCCTGTGTCCTCTCTTTGGTGCCTGCTGCCCCTCTCGGGCTCTGCCTCTGGGAACTCATGTTTTTTACCAGAGAGTGATGTCCTCTGCTTATGGCCATTCCAAGAAGTTATTGTAGGGGCTTTCAGATGGAGCAGGACCAGGAGGAAACAATACAGGCTGGAGAGAGCATTTTATGAGTCCAAAGGTCTCCATGCTCTCTGCCCATGGCAAAGTCCAACTTACCTGCAAAGCCACCATACATCTGAGATTTGAGATAATAGACACAGGGCTTCAGTGCTCACATCACCCCTTCAGGCAGGCAGAAGAATCCAAGAGACAAAAGCTACCCTGGTACAATCACTACACACCCCAAAACACACAGGATGTCCCTTCTGCTGCTCAGCACACCAGATAAGCTCTGAATCTGCCTCTCACCACAAGCCCAGCTACTTGTTCCCAAGATGTAATTGCTCCTGCACCAATCTTTCCATGTCCAATACTGCAACCTCATCACTGTGCTCTCCTGTGCGTGATGCTTTCCTATTTAGCATTGATTTTGTTTCCATTCCCCATTAATTGCAGGTGAATCTGTTTCTGAGCATATATCTGACTCTTAAACATGCTGCTCCACATTTAAAAACCACTCTAACACATCTTGAAGACTCTATTTTTATTGCTTCAGTATTAATTACCATCCTGTTCTGCCTGAATTCAAAGGAGTACGTGGACAAGACTGCGATTTAAACATGAGAACATTTATTTCATGCAGCACCAAGCCAGGAACCTTCCAGAGCTGACACAGAGTAACAGCACATAAACACAGGAGTGGATAAATCACCTGAGCACCTCAGTGCCCAGGTACCAAAGTCTGAGCATCACACAGTGCACTGAACAGGCCTCTCCTGTGCCACAAGCTCTGGACACGCTGATGCTGTGTCCATCAATGCTCTGCTCCACAAAGACAGCCCAGCTGACAAGGCAGCCCCTCCAACACCAGAGAGCTCTGCTCCCCTCTTGGTTTCACTATTGCCTCCACGGGGTCACCTCTGTGCTGCAGATTCCTGACTGAGAGGGAGTGAAAGAGGGAAGACTTCACTGACTTCCTTTGTAGTAGATTTGCAAACATACTAATCAAAGCTCCAGATAAGGCCTGGTGCTGTGGTTCTTTAATGATTTGAGGAGAAATTCTGAAGAGTACTATGGCGACGCAGGAGATCAAGTCTTGCTAAATGAAACTTTAGATGAATTTCCCCTTCAGAGGACGTAGGAGTTATGCCTTTCATCTGCCCATATGATAAGCACCTTCACGCTAGGATAAGAAAGTATTTCAAAACAACCTCATCAGCATTTCAGCCAAGTTGAAGTGCTCCAAAGGGTTGGTCCATTTGAAGAGGAAATAGGACTGAAGATGAAAGGCATCTTTAGAGAAGGGGGGCACAGCTGAACCAGTTATCAGCTTGTTATGCCAGCTTACAAAACAACCTCTGTCTTACCCATCAGAAAAGGTTTTTACAAAGATTAACCTTGCCATTTGAGTTAACAGAGCTGCCCCTTTTCACCATGCCAGGAGTAGCCTGCAGCCCCATCCTCAGGAGGCTCCTGCTCCCAAAGTGGCATCCTCTGAATGCCCCATTCATATCAACACTGATCACAGCTGAGCAGTCCTACTCCTTGGTTAAAGCTAGGAAATCATGCATTGAAACTTACAGCCAGGCTGGAGTCTGAGCAGGAAAAGGTCCCAGGATTTCAACTTCATCTTCATTTGTTTGACAACAGCTACAGTCAAAACACTTCTGACAACAATTTCTGCAAGTCCACCGGCACAGCAAGAGATCTGAGATTCGAGCAAGCAGACCCTGAAGCCATTGCAAACCAAAGTACAAGATTACAACCCATCAATAGCTATTGAGAAAAAACACTCAGCTGTATTTGTGTTTGTGTTTCTGCAACAGAACATTAAGAACTATATTTATTTCATCCATACCAACAGACAAGTGCTATGCAGTTACCAGCCCAACCCCACTGATGCCATAACAAGGAAGGAAAATAAGCATTCTCTGCAGGTATTTCCCCCTCTAGTAGCAATATATTATTATGTAGGTTGGCAAAAAGATGATTTACAAAGCACTATGGCACAGCAATATGCTGGAGTGGAAACATGCATATTCTTCCACACACATCAACAGTCTAATAGATCAGCAAACATACAACAGAAGGAATTAAAAACAGAAGGTAAGTGAAAGCTTCAATTTAATCCAGCAAGGATCTACTTAATTAACACAGCAATGTGAACACACTTCATCCCTGTAGATGTACCAGGAATATTTGTACAATCCATACACATGAAGCATTACAGCCCAACAAACTCACCACTAAAATTGATTAGCCAGAGCACACTATCCTCATGCTTCTGCTCTGCTACCATGATTAATTTAATGAAGAACCTTCAATGATATTTTTTAGAGAATAGTTGACCCAGAAAAGTCTTTCATGCCCTGGGTTTCCGTGGTGGCACTGGCAGCACCACTTGTAGCAGTGCTGTGGCAGCTCCCCACCAGAGTGGCAGCACCCTGTGGCCCCATTTCCATGCCATCCCCACAGCCTCCCCCCACCTCAAAGCTCTGCCTTGAGAGGAGCAGAGAGCCAAACCTCAGCTCATTTCCCACCCACACCAGCCCCAACTCCTGCCATTCATGAGAGGGCTCATTAAGCAGCCCAAGGGCACTGCTCTGGGCAGGTGGGATCTGTGCAAGGGCACAGCACCTGCACCCAGGCCCAAACCACTTTACAAGTGTGACCTTGAAATGCTCCTGAGAAACTGAAGAAATAAAGTGTGTGAGAGATTTTCCATAGTTATCTCCCCAAAATACTCGAGACATTTGCAGTGTTCATGAGTGTGGACCATGAGGAGGGGTTTCCTCACAGGAACCTGATCTGCAGAGAAGACTTCATAGGAACATGGCTTTTTGCTACAGTAAAACACACATTTTTTCCATAAACAAAATCTGGGCACTGCAAACCAAAAAATTACCAGCCCAAAATGCAGTGCATTACTTATATCTAGGACATCAGTAAAGAGTCAGAAAACACGAGACAATCCCCTCAGGATGGAGCAAGGAGACAGAGCGGGGAGTGAATCATCAGATTAACTCACCTCATTTATTGGTTCCAACTGTCCTTTTAGACATCCAGGATGAAGCAAAGGGGAACAAAATGAAAAAGACAAAAACAAGTCAGCAATGCTCAAACAACTTTAAATTTTTTGCCATGACATGCCCCAGCCTGGGATGAGTTTGAATTTCTGGCAAGACAGTACCTTGTAGATGTTAGAGGAAGAAGAGATCTGACCACGCATCAGCTTCTGCCATTTCCTACCCATCCCTACCAGAGCTCCTCCTGCTCTTCCTTTCCCACAACCAAAACTCCCAAACCCTTTCTGAAGCATGAAAATCCTGCTCATTGCTCCTTGCTAATGGGCATGCAACCACTTACTTTGTTTTCTTTAGTAACCTGCCTCTAACTGCAGCAACTACTTGCTGCTGACAGCAAACCACATCCAAATTTTTCACTGGGAAAAAGGCTTGTCTTCACATTCAGCCCATATCAATGCAGTTCCAATGCCAACTCATTAAAGCAACATTTCTAGGAAGGGGTAGAGACTGGATACTCTCCATTACATACACATCTCTGGGCACCTTCAGCCTCATCCTCAGATGTAACTTGAAGAACACAAAAGATAGAAGTTAAAGGCTTGAGTCCTACGCTCCCATTCAAAATCTACAGTGCAACCACCTCACCCAGGCCACAGAGGAAATCTACAGCAAAGGAAGAAGGCATCACAAACCAGTGTTTTATTCACAAAGCCACCCTTGGAACATCATATATACATATATAATGGACCCATTTCCTTTGGAGACTCACTAGCATTTCTGATACCTCCTGAAATGTCTCACCTATTGCATTCCCTCGATAATGTCTAAGAGTTTTCTGTTTGTCCTGGCTGTCTTTGTATATGGGGAATCCCTAAAACAAAGCACCAAACCAACACATAACCACAGAACAAAGCAATACAAAATAAAACCACAAAAAACTCCATCCTACTCCTCCAAACACAGAAGATGGCTCCTTAGCTTTACACTCATGACACAAGCAGCCTTTTCTGAAGAAGATGGGATACAGAAGTTGACTTTAGTTCCAAGAACTCTCCCATGGACCACGTGTTGGTGCAAGCCTTCCTTTTAAACTTCTTGGAAGCCAGTGCTCGTCAAGAAAGCCACCACTTGTTAGGAGCAGCTAAAAGCCTAGGAGAGCTGTGGCACAATGAGACAGGACAGTGATTACAGATACCCATGGGCCAGCTGTTTAAGAAAATGCTAAATGGTTAAACGGGCTCTGTCATTCCTTATTAATGCAAAGTTGCAGCCAAAGCTAGAGTGGTTTAGCAGAGCTGCAAGGAGGATATTTGAATTGCTCTGAAACAAAGCGGCTGGATCGGTGCCACGCGATCCAACGCCGAGGCACATGTCATGCAAAGAGAGGGCTTTTCCAGGCGGCCCACAGGGACACACAGCGGGCTCACATCCAGCAGCCCTCCCGGCCACCAGCAGCCACAGCCCTGTGAAGCCAGCCCCGTGTGCCACCAGCCCCGAGGGCACACACAGCCACCCCACGGGACCCACAGAGCGAGCCTGTGACCACCCACAAATGGGAGGGCAGGGACAAGAACTGAGTATTACAGTGCTGAAGAGGTAAACAAGTCAACAGCGCCTGTAGGGCTGAAATGCAGGGGCCCATGAAAGGAAAGCAAACACGACCACCTGTCCACCCACCTCGCTGGCAGCAGGCACGAGGGGCAGGGCTGGGGCAGGGCAGGGGTTCAGGGAGCGCTGCTGGCACCGGGGATCCCCAGGAGCACAGCAGCTGCCGTGTGCTCAGCACCCCCTGGAGAAGGGCTCAGCCTCCCGGCTCCGGGGGGCACCATCAACCTCTGCCTCGTCATCCCAATGGGCCGAGCAGAGAACAAACCAGATGGGAGGCTCCAGCCACGAGTGAACCCTCATCAAGGGCGAGGCTGGGGACAGGGCTCCATCTCCACAACCTGCTGCAGGGCCCCTGCTCCAAGTTAGCAGAGCCGCCAATCCCCGCCAGGCCATCAGACCAGTGACAACGAACCACCGTGACAGTACCCCTAGGGATGCTGCAGCAGGGTGGGGTCCTCACTGCTCACGGACCGCGTTTTGCCCCCACAGTCACCCAGGAAGGGCTCACAAGCTCCATCGGCAGCGGACACCGCAGCCTGGACAGACACACATTCCCCACATCCCACCACGACTGAGCCGGTGTGGGGATAACGGGGTGTTGCTGGCGTCCCGCTCCACACCCGGGTACCCCCACCCT